TCTCCCACTGTCCACTGGCACCTCCCCCCAGGGCTGATGATCTCCCACTGTCCACTGGCACCTCCCCCCAGGGCTGATGAGCTCTCCCACTGTCCACTGGCAGCTCCCCCCAGGGCTGATGATCTCTTCCACTGTCCACTGGGACCTCACCCCAGGGCTGATGAGCTCCCACTGTCCACTGGCACCTCCCCCCAGGGCTGATGAGCTCTCCGACTGTCCACTGGCACCTCCCCCAGGGTGGACAAGGGAAACTGGCAGCCCTGTGTGTAGTGCATGTGTTTTAACTTCAGAAACGACCTCGATTTGCACTGGGTCTACCTCAGGCCACTCAGCAGGATCTGCCTTGCCATGGCCAGGGGCAGGCCTTCTCCACAGACCARGTCTCGATCAGAGTCACCACCACAGACGTGTGCTGCCGCTGAGCTGCACCATGATCACTGGTGTCCGTCACTTTGCACAGTGTGTGTCCAAATATAAATAGCGCACACCTGGCACCRTGCTGTGGCCAAGAAGAGGGGCCTCCTGAGGATCTGCGAGCTGCATCCAGACTGGTTTGTGAGCCTCAGCCAGCAGCCTCACAGAGCTGGCTCCCCATCTGAAAACGTGTGCAGTAGCCACTCTCCTGTGAGTTTGTTAGAAAATCACACATGAGAAGTGTCTAGAACCTTAAAAAAATGCCTCCATGCTCCACCTCTGGTTTGCCAGGAGCCCCAGGAGCCAGCCAGGCCAGTGGATGAGTCAGGAGAGGCAGCACTAGAGAAGGAAGGCCTTCCACATCCTCTCCCTGTCCCTGACCAGGGGCTCTTGTTTTCTGGGCCTTACTCCCTCCGTATCCCAGGGGCCTCAGGTATGGACCCCGCCTCACACAAAACAGCCGTCTTCAGCCATGACCACCACGACTGCCCCAGGTGGCCCGTGGGTCTTCCCTGCAGTTTCCCAGCAAACTGTAAATGCACAACCCACCTGCACTTCAGCCCTGCACCTGCACCAGGAGTGTGCCCAAACTTTGGCTCCCCAGGACCCCACTGTCAGCCCTGGGTGGAGTGGCCCTSACTGGAACCCAGAAGCAGAACAGTGAGAGACAGACCCAGAGATGACGCTCCGCYGAGATGCGGCCCTCTGCCTAGGTCTCCACCAGCAGGTGGACCAGCTGTCTCTGCGGAAGCTACTCGGGTGGGCTCCTGTGTGTCCAAAGATTCCCAACTGCAAGATGTGGCAGAGCACAGTGGGAAGGGGAGGTGGCTGCTCCCAGGCCTCGGGGTCCTCCACCCAGGCYGGAGGGTGGGCTGCAGGGCCAGGGGATGGGCCAGAGGGTGGGCTGCAGCTGGCACAGGCCAGAGGGTGAGCTGTGGGGCAGAGGTTGTGCTAAAATTCCTAGAAAGGAGACCTTCTGAAAAGGCTTTTTGGAAGTGGAATTATGACATCACATYAGAGTGACACATTGCCTACGTCACATGTGACACAGAGTGGAAGAAAGAAAGGCATATTCTAGGMCAGAATGTTCCTTTCAGATATAACCACGGTGACATGTATGTGGTTGATCCAGCACTACTAGGTACACAGTGGACAAACTTGAGTCCTATTTGGAACATCCGATATTTAGAAGTGCACGAATTATGTTAAAAGTAGAGGTAGTAAATAAAACAGTTTGTAGATTTAAAAAAAGAAGAATCCCGACTGGTACAAAGGACTAGTCAGTAAGGTGCATCCTGATCCACAGCTGGAATTTCCAACTTGCTAAATGGTCAGTGAGAAATGTCATGTGACCTAGAAAAGGGGACCACAAAGCAGGATTGGAGGTGTCTTCATCCTGCAGGACTCTGGGGTCCTATGGTTGTTGGCCAAGTGGAGTCCTGAGAATTATGCTCTTAAAGCACAAGGCCAAAACTGATGTTCAAATCAGGAGAATCACTTTCAATATTTGCAAGAAATAAAATTATTCTTGAAGATATTTTGACAACTTCCACACATTGGCCTCAGAAAACAAAACGTGGTCCTATGGGTTTTAGAAGATAGCCAACTGCCCGGCGCTCAGAGCTCTTCCCAACGCAAGGATGAAGCCTCTTGGTGCAGAAGAGCGGGAGTGGGGCCATCGTGGTGGAGACATGTTGGGGCTGCAGAAGTGTCCCCAGAGCTCAGAGTGAGACCGTCACCTGTTATTGGGGCAGTTTCAGGGACACCTCGCAGCCTATTTCCTCATCTCTGGAAGGAGCTTCCCAGGGGAGACTGCCGGGAAAAGAGATGAAATCAGAGGGAGTGGGCAGCATTCACCAGGAGCTGATGGGGTTGTGGTGACCAGGGAGCTCCATGGCACCTGGGCACCGTGGCACTGTGGGACCACAGTGTCCACAGCCTGCCTCTCCCTCCACACGGGCAGGGACACACCCCAGGGGTCCCTGAGACAGAACACCAGTAGCACTCGTGTGGGGCTTGCACGTGCCCAYCCCATTCTTGCTTACGAGTGGCATGGCACTCTGCACTGTCCTGCCCAGAGTCCAGTGGCCCTGCCAGGCAGGGCCATCCGAGAGTGCTGCTGAATGGCACACCAGGAGGCACAGGTGACTTGTAGCCACTGCTCCCAGCTCTGTCCCTCTCAGTCAGTGTGAAGCGTCCTGTAGATGCAGGACATCCCACCCCGAGGTGTGCTCCAGCTCCCTGTCCCCTCCAGGACAATGCAGGCCAGAGCAAGTCCCCCACACTTCTAAAGCCCCTTGTGACCAGAACAGTGCTCGAGGATCCGTGCTCGAGGCCCTGCACGGCCTGCCCCCACCATGCTGCAGAACTGTCACCCCCACCCCAGGGTCTTCTCCGCCCGTTTCCCCTCCATTCAAACTTCAGCACAGGCACCAGGTTTGGGGTGCCTCAGCTGAGCCTGGCTTAGGCTCCCCGGTGACCAACGGGCCGAGTTCCTTCCCTTCGGGTCCACATCTGGACTCCAAGCATTGTCTGTCACAGCGGCTGTCCCAGCCCACCTCGAACCGGGATGCTGTGGAGTCCCAGGACCTTCCTTAAACCTGGCACACAAAACCCGCTCAGCAAATCCTTGTTGAGTAAAACAACAAAACACTTAAACTAGCTGAGTCGCCCCGCCCACGGCAGCCAGAAATTCCATGTGACACGGTCATGCTCTTCCTGACTCTGCTGCCACTAGATGGCTGGTGGTTTGGCGTCACTCTGTGATGTAGTGCAAAGGTTTTTCCATATTTTGTAAATCAAAACATATCCTAGGAAACCTGTCAGCAGGGCTCAGCTCTGCGCCCTTCAGGCACCATGTGTGCGGACTCTGGCACGGACCCTGGTCACTGTGTGCTACGTGCCCAGGCCTTGGCGGCACGAAGCCCAGAACCCAGCAGAGCAGGGGGAGGTTTCCCCCAGACAGCACAGTCCCTCTGGACTAGGAAGAGGATAAAGATGTTCTCAACAGACAGGAAACCAAAGAGGACATGCCGGCCTGGTGCGTGATGAGGCAGGGGCGGGGGCGGGAGGCGTGGATCACCTGCAGGCTGGGCAGACACACGGCTCTACCTTTGGAGAAGCAGGGCTGTCATCTGATCGGCGGTGCATTCTTTGCTGCTTCTAAAGCCTTGAGAGCTGCCTGTCTGGCCAGGTCAAGGCTGAAGGGTAAAGACTCACTCCTAAAATCCATGCCACTTGGCCAAAGACTCGTTTGGAGATGATGGTCGGTCCAGATCTGCACCTTAGCTGGGGCTGAATGCCTCGCACGCTGTGCAAGCCAAGGAGGAGCATCTTCACCCAGCGTGGAAGCCCGCTTCTGCCCGTGGCTCTCCTGGGGGCTCTGCACACAGGGCTCCTGGGGACTTGATCGCTACAGTGCCATTAATAACCACACCAAGCGGGAGGCTGTGCTGGCCACAGCGCCCGAGCTGGCCGTCAAGGGCAGGGCTCTGTATCTGTCAGTCTGTCCTTGGAGTCGCGTGCCCTGCCCAGAGCTCGTCTTGTGATTTTACACAGATGCTGCTGGTTTAAGCCCCAACAGGCTCAGTTCAGTGCTGAATGATCATGCACAGGGACAGAGCCGGTCACACAGGAACAAGTGGCCAGCACAAGGTCCCAAAGAAGATCCAGGAAATGGGATCCAGGGCACAGACCAACATGCTAAGACCTACATAGAGCCTGAGGCAAGCTGTGTGCCCTGGGTTCAAGAAGAGGGAGGGGTAGGCAAGGCCAAGAGAGGCGGCACCCAGACCGGCACGGGGCAATGGAGCTCACCCTCGACACCCTGGCTGCACCCCAGGAGGGAGGAAACTGGGGCCCAGAGGGGCCAGGGCCTGAGCCCCCCGGGTCTGAACTAGGATCCCCACACCTGGGTTTCCAGGCCTTTGTGAGTCAGCCTCCTGGAGGGCTGACCTGCCACCAAGGGAAGGGGACCACAAAGCCAGGTCAGGGTCCTGGAGAGGGCCCCCATGCAGTCCAGCACATGACTCAGGGAGTCTGACCCCGTCAGACAGCACACCACTGTTGGCCCTGGACGAGGCCTGAGCGACTTCCTGCCGGGGAGGAAGGAGAGGTTGGACAGAGAGCTGAGATCTCTCTCTGCCCCAGATGCCCACGGAGAACTAGTGGACAGCAGGCACAGAGCGGCGTCCCTAGTCACAGCACATGGTCGACAGAAGGCAAGCACTGAGCAGCCCAGGTGGCCKCGATTCTCACTAGGGACCGGTGCCCACACTCGGGGACCAGTGTGTTGACGTCCTCAGCCCAGGGGAGGGCGCCAGGAGGTGGGTGCTGGGGTGCTGAGGGCAGGGGGCAACCTCATGGTGGGATTGGCGGCCTCATAAAAGGTCTCAGGGGCCACGGCCCACCCCCCCACCTGAGAACCCCACCTCCACCCTCGGACCCTGCCTTGGGCTGACAGGGCTCTGCCTCACCTCGACCCTGGACGTCCATCCCCGYGTGGTGAGAGCGAGCCTCTGCTGCCCAGGGCCTCTGGGTGCACTCTGTCCAACCACCCACACAGGCCGGGGCCTTTGCACCTGGGGAACGTAGATATTTACAAGTCTGGACACATTTGGAAAAGGAAGCTCTCCAGAGGCCTCTCTCTCCCTCTCTGTGGTCGGCTTTTTCCCTAAGACCATTCTTCTTCCTCCCATAAACACACAAAGTCCCTGTTTACGGAGCTTTTGCTCATGTTTATGAAGCCATCGTATACATTGAAAATAAATATTTTGTAAACAGAAATAAACAAAAAGAAAGATGGGCAGGCACGGTGGTGCATTCCTGTGACCCACGACTCGGAAGGCTGAGGCAGGAGGACACGTGTTGGAGGCGAGCCTGCACACACAGCAAGACCCCACCGCAGCAGGAAGCAGGTAGGGAATGTGAACTCCTGCGTGCTCACCCATCTCTCTGGTGCTTGGCTCTGGGAGAGACAGTTGGTACACGGCTTGGCATGCAGTTGTTGGTTGAAACATGAAAACATCCATCCTGGACAGATGCACGCTTCCCCGGGTAACAGTGCATTGACCTGTGACCTCACCAACAATAGGAGCGAGCGTGTCTGAAGGAGGAGCTGCCGCCTGCAGTCCCAGCACACCAGTGACCTTCCCATACTTGGTCACATTAAAATCCTTCACACTCTCATGCATTTTGCACTTTTTTCCCATTGGCAATTTTGTGATGTAGGACACTGGTCATTTGGGAAATGGTAGTGTCCATCCTTCACTGGACAGTAGCATGAACTCGGGAAGTCACATTGTCAACACAGTCACGGACCCCTGGGGGTCACTGCACTCTTTTCCACCCCTGCTGGTCCTGAGCCCTGTCCACACCTTGGGAAGCCCTGCCAACCTGGCCTCAGTGGATAGTCACTGTGTCCACGAGAGGGAGCTCCAAACCAAAACTCGAAACCTGGTTCTGAAGCCAGGAAAGAAAAAAAAATTAAATAATGTGATTACCAAAAATACTTTGTGATTTTGAAAAAAGGATCATGTGATGGTAACTCAGCTGTAGAGAGTCACAATGATTGCCAACAATATGGCAATGTTGGAAAAATTCAGTTGAGCTGGGAAGGGGACAGGACAGGAAGTAGAGTGGGCCATGGGTACAGAACGGCAGGAAGAGAGCAGGTCCCCCATCCTACAGCACAGGGGGGCCACTGTCACCAGCAACACTGGATATCTCAAAAAAAAAACAAAAACAAAAGAGAAATCCGAATGTCTCACCAAAGTTCTTATGTAAAGAAAATAGAAGCTAGACCACCCTACAGTTCATATCACACTCAAATAAGTAGACTATATTTCAAAAGAAAGTGAAAGACACTCAGAAAAATGTGATTCTTAAAAGATCATTAAATAAAAGAAAAGTCAGAATAAGTTAACAGCACCAGGAAGAATTGGGAAAAAATTAAATCATTTTAGAAATAAGGACTAAGCCATAGGAATACAAGAAATGGTTAAAAACAGCAAATAACGCCCTAAAGATATAGAAGGCCAAAAGAGAGGGGCGAAGCTAGAAGGGAAGGAGGAGACAGAAGGTTTTTAAGAGGGCTGGGGTTGTGGCTCGGTGGTGGAGCACTCACCTCACGTGTGAGAGGCACTGGGTTCAAGTCTCAGCACTGCATATAAATGACTGAGTAAAGTAAAGGTTCATAAGCAACTAAAAAAAATTTAAAAAAAAGATTTTTCAGAGAAAGTTAAAATATGAAGGAAAAAAAACAAAAGTACAACCCAGAAGGAGACCTGAGAAGTGGAAGAACAGGAGAGCAGATGTTAGAACCAAAACCCCATGAACTTTTCAAACTAAACACACATATGTATATATATGGATCTCGCACTACTTCACGCACTGAAATTGACAGAGTGACAACAGCCACACGTGGTCTGGCCAGATGGCCGGGATTTCAGGAAGCACTGTGGGCACCTGTCTGCTGTGTGTGCAGGAGGCCACGTGGCCACCGCAGGGAGGGCACCGGTCCTCAAAAAACTGTCCCACCTGGCACTGAAGGCAAAGCAGCAGCGGGCGGCTGCTTCCCTCCAGGGGTCCTCAGACCTGTGTCCCCAGGCGCTCCCAAGGTCGCTCAGCTCCTAGCGCAGCGAGGTCTAAAGACCACGTGGGCCTTTGGAGCCACTGAGCTCGCTGTTGGAAGTACTGAGGGCCTGCTCTGAGGTGGGTGGGCAAGCCCGGACTCCGGCCCAGGGGCAGCAGCAGGACCTGGCCAGTCCGCACGCTCACACCCTGACCACCGCGGCCCTGCGCCCTAATTGGAGGACCCGGAGGACCCGCTGAGCAGTTGGCCGATCCAATGAAGGCCGGAGATTACAGTCCGAGTGGCCCCCAGGCTTCCCTCTGCTGGCACTACCACACGGTTACTTCACACAGGAGGCGGCTCCGCGGTGGGTCAGCTGGGGGCCCACAGTGGGAAGTGAGAAAGTCAAGCCTACCAAGACTGGGGTGCTGTGGCCCTTGTCTCCTTCCGTCAGGAGCCTGTCTGGGCCAAGACTGTCCCTCTCAGGTGGCAGCCCCACCATAGGATTGTTTGGTGTCAGGCCCACAGGAAGGAAAAGAGGAAAGTCAGAGGTGGGCCTGTAGGTAGGACTGGTATCCTCAGAGGAGGACACTGTGCTTCCTCCCAGCGGTCACACCCGGGAGGTGCCCTCTAAAAGCCAGACGGGCCAGGCACAGAACCTGCAGGCACCATGTCCCTGGGCTTGCAGCCTCCAGAGCGGTGGGACAAGCACTAGGGCCGTGGTGCTTTGTCGTGACTCAATCCACCACCGCGCCAGGCAGGCCGGTGCTGGGCCTCTGTCTTGGGAGGAAATCCGTTTGGCAGGCAGGAGGGAGAGAAGGAGCCTTTGTCTGCAGCTGCCTCCTGCAGCCTGTCCCTCCCTGCACCCAGCAGGACAATGGGCACTTCTCTGCCCTGTTTTTCTGCTTCTGCCTTTGGACAGAGGGTAATCTGTGACCAGCAAGATGCAGGAAAGAAAGCATCTTGTGTAGGAATGCAGCCCGGAAACCATCGACGCTGTTAGAAGGGAAGGGGGCTGGGAGGCAGGAGAAGTGCAGCAGGAAACAGATGGGAAATTCCAAGGCAGATTTCTGCAGAAAACCTGGGGTGCTTTTATGCAGTTGGAGTCCTGGGCCAGCTGCCCCTGGGTGCCCAAATCCTCACCCCTGGTGCCACTGTGGGAACCTGGTCACACGGTTCACTGGGACCAGCCCAGGTGGCTGGGCTTGGGACGGGGCTCTCTGCACAGAGGGGTTTCCGAGAAGGCGCGGCTCTGCTGTTGGTGGTCTCCTTCATACTGCAGGGAGGTGGAGGTGGGAGCCGGCCTCAGAGAGTCCTTGTGCATCGGCCGACCACTCCCACTTGAACCCCAGAGCCAGTCAGTCTCTAAGTGTAAACACATCTAACTAGCCCCAGCTGTGGGGAAGCAAGTCGGCTGGAAGTGGGACCCAGTGCTTGACCTCCTAATTCCCAGGAAATCCTCCGACTGGAAGGGCATTTTTAATTCCACAGACCTGTACCAAGGCACTCACATTAATCCAGGGGCTCTGAAACCCAAGAGGAAGCATGACTGTGCATCTGCCACCAGCAAGGCCCTAAATGACAACAGGACGCGGGAGTACTGCTGGCGGGCACGAGCCATGCTCTTGTTATATTTTTGCTTATAATGCATAGGTAAGACCAGCTATGCCAGTCCTCTTCCACGCTTTAGAGGTTCCAAATTAAACCATGGAAGCAGAAGCAGACCTGTAAGACTGTTGCAAAGGACAATGTCAAATTTGTAGGTCAAAGGACAGATTTAAATTTCAACCCCTTTGTCTCCAAGCCTCCCTCCAAAAGAGCTGCTCAGTCTGCTCTGAAGTTCAGAAACTCACCTGCTCACCAGGCCCTCGACCCGGGGGGAGGATGGTTGGGACCCTTGGCAAGGAGGCAGGGGCCCAGTGAGGGGACCTCGTGGAAGGGCTGGTGCCTGCCCTCAGGCAGGCTGCTCCTGGGCCTGGCAATCACACTGGCACTGGCTCTGCCGGAGGATGCACCCATTGCCAGTCAGTCACCACCCAGAAGCCATCCAGTCTTTCAATGTTTCCTCGGTGGCTTGTGCTTCACCCAGGTGTAATTAGAACACTTGGCTCTAAGCTTGAAAACTGAGCTCATCTTGCAGCTTGGGGGGTTGTGGGACCTCCATCTTGGCTCTGTGCTCACCATGATTGGGGCACCTTCTGTGACCCCTGGTGCTCACCGTGTCTGTGTGAACGGCGTGGTCCACCCCTGCTGCTTCTCAGTCAGATCCACAACGCAGGCCTTGTCCCCGCTCCCTTAGATCTCGGGGATTCTGCTCCTGGTATCTGTTTGGTTCTGTTTTCTTAAGTCCATGTCAGTGTATGGTAGGATTCCACYGCTCCGTGTGTTACGAGAACATGTTTAGAAAAGAGTTTCTTAAGAAATACACTATTTCCTTTTATAGGAAATCCTGACAATAAATTAAGAGTTAGACAGCTTACATATTACACAATTCTGTTAACAAACATTAAACATTTTCATTATTCTTCTAGTAAAGATTAATCCCCAAATAAGAAGCCTTCTGCGGAAGTTAATAGATGTGACATTCATTCAAGTTAAGGATTGCTATTCAGTAAAAGGTCCCCACCAAAAGTGCCCACTGGTAGGTGGGAGAATATATCTAAAAACAGCCACAATAAAGTGATCTCTCTAAAGTCTACCAGGAGCTCGAAAAATCAACAGGAAACACTTAATGAAAAGATCAAAGAAGTTAAATCGGCAGGTCCCAGAGTGAGAGGTTTCTTGGCTTAGAGGAGGCAGGAAAAGACACGTGAAGCCAGTGACCTCCTGTCCAGGGGAAGGACAGGCTGACTAAAATAAGGCACGTGACGATGGGGGTGCTGTGTGCGAGGGGGGCTCCTGGATGCTGGCAGGTGGGGGGGGCACGGCCACCCAGACATGTGGAGGTGTTCCACGGTGGCTAAGTGGAAGTCCCAGAACCTCGCCCTGGTCCTGTACCTGACTTGAGAGGAACCTTAGAGCGTGGAGGGGACTGGCGTAGCGGGTCTTACCTGTGCAGTGTGGGCAAAATACAACAGAAACATGGCTCGTGCCCAACAGCATTCCAGCTCATACCATCAAGAGACTGCCACTCTGTTGGCAGCTTGGAGGCGTCTGGGGGATCTCCCCAGGGACAGACACCTGAGGACCACGCCTGCCAGGGGAGGAGGTGCCCTGTGAGTCCCACACAGGACATGCTGGAAAAGGTGAATCTGTGGGCCCAGTGAGAGCCCGGTGGTCAGCAGGGTTGCGGAGGAGGAGAACAAGGCCACAGAGGCCTTTAGGGCAGAGAGGCACTCTTGGTGCTGCAGGGGACACGAGTCAGCATACATGTGCCCACACCCAGGGCGTCTCCAGAACCACGTGGCCCCCCCGTAGGCTGTGGGCCCTGGGGGAGGGGTCTCACAAGCCCACCAGCTCCACAAACACTCGGCTCTAAGGGGAGCTGCTTTGGAGGCTGGGCTCAGCTGGGGGACAGGGGAATCTCTGTACCTTCCACTCATTTTTGCTGCTGTCTCCAAATCACTATTTTTAAGAACCTTTGGTTCGTGCCTCCCAGCGAGCTGAGGAGCCTCTGCCGTCTCCTCCTTCTGCAGTTCCTCTTCAGAGCCTCGCCTGACTCTACCGGTTGGTTCTGTGGCCGCCTGCCGCAGGCCCCTCCCTCTGCCCTCCCTCTCCTTGGTGGGCTCCTCTCAAGTCAGCCTGCAGTGTCCCTAGGCCACCATGCCCGTTCTCAACTGTCTGCTCTGAGTGCAGAAGGACGGTGTCAATGTCACACGGGGGAGAGGGAGGGCGCAGCCAGCCCTGGGCCTCCGCTCTCACATCCCAGGACTCGCCTTTCTGTTTCCTGGCAGGCTCCTGGCTGCATCTGTGCCACCCAGACAGACTTTCTCCCTGCCTCACGTTGCTGTCACCCATGTGCTACCCTGGCTCTGACACTCACCAGAAGCTTCCAAAGGGAGGTGTCCCATCTGGGAGCCACAGTTCCTTTCTCAGTGGTGGATACAGTGACCTTGACCCCAGACTGTGGACTGGAGAGGTCAATGGTAACAGCCAAGCCACAGGAGTTGTCAGCCAGACATTGCCTTGAACATGAGTGTGCAGCCCAGAAAGGAGAACAGGAGGTGAGTGTGGCGTGCGGCTGCTCTGGACTTCCAGCCTGGCCACGTGCAAACACAGTGCTGGAGCAGGCGTGGCCTGTTGGCACCCCAGGACGCCTGCTGGCACTGAACAAGCAGCTGTCGGCACATGTCACAGCCGCTTGAGCTCCCCTGAGCAAAGCAAGTCTCATCTGCCTGCTGAGTCCCAGTGCCATGCAGAAGCGGGGTAGTGGCACTCACTGGATGTTGGCAGGACTGTCACTTCTGCTTCATTCCAAGACCTAGGCCTCATAAACTACCTGCCTGGGAGAGCTGCTGCAAGGGGTGCTGTGTCCTCTGCAATGCCACCTAGCATCAGGAACCGGGTATCTAGGACATAAGCAGCCAGGATTGTCCCTCTCACTCCAAGGGCCATGAGCCTGTGCCCTCCCTGAGAACTGGAGACCAAGCCTGTCCACAAGTCGATGGCTTGATCTCTGCCACTGCAGTGTGTGGAGACACTGTCGCCATGTGATAGCTCTAAGGTATTGGCCACACAATGGCGATTGGCACAGCCTCAGTGCCCACAGGCCGCATTAGCGCCTTGGTCAGCACAACACAACACACAGGGCGCACCTCTTTGCACAAATAGCTTTTATTTCATTTATCTAAAGAGGTTTAAAATCCTTCTTCTCACTGAGCAAGACTATTAGAGTTACGTGAATGGTTCTCCTGGATCTCGTTCACCCGACTTCTGTTAGATGATTCATCACCTCAATCTGAAAAGCCTGTATGTTTTTTGTCATTACATCTGGTTTCAAAGGCTGCAAAGAAAACCACTCTGATTGATTATCCAAATCCTAAAACTTGGCAAGGAAAACACTGAGGCTCAGGGAAGTTCAAGTTGAAGAATATTTGCAGAAGAAAATGCAGGAGAGAGACAGACAGCAGYTGGGGTACTGAGCACACCTCCGCCCTTCAGCAACGTTCCTGTCCCCTCTGAGTAAAGAGAGATCCATGAGGAAACTGCCTGGACCGACTGTCACCAACCAGCAGTGGCACTGGGGTCCTCCAGGGCCCACTGAGCAGTGAGGTCTGGTCTGCAAGTGCTCACTCCCGTTCACAGGGTGGAGACAGGGCTGGGGCTGAGGAGGGGAGCTGGGGGGTGACAGGATGGCTGTCGCCCAGACCCGGGTGAAGACTGGACCGGGAGAACACTTACCTCATGGTGCAGGCACTGGGTGGCCCACCCCAGCATGTGCATCAGCATCGACACCTCTCCAGACACCAGGCAGTGCTGCGCCTTGTCACGGAGCCCTCTCCTCCCGGGCATGGCCAGCCTGGTCCACACGTCCTGCTGAGCTGGGCTGGAGCCGCACCCCCCCTTCTGTGGGCATCTGTGGGTGGCGCGGGCTGGGGCCAAGGGCTCTGGGCCGAGCAAACGCAGAGCCTCGTTTTCAGGGACCGCAGATAGAACCTCGTGACCTACCATCCAGCTCTGGAATTCAGGACCGAGTGTGCGGTGACCTGAGAGCTCAGAGGGCTCTGGGCCACTGAGGTCACTTCCTGTCACATACAGGAAAAGCTGCTGCTCCCAAGGACAGGCGAGGCTTCGAAGGGCCACTCCCAGAACTGTTCCAAAATGTCAGGAGTTTGCCACGTTCTGGCCTGGCTGTGACTCGCCCGCCTTGCTCCTTGTCCCTGGGAAAACACTGGGACTGCCCCTTCCTCACAGGCAGCCTGTCCTGAGGACCTGCCTGTGAGCTGGGCCCACCTCAGGCACCTGAGGCTCTGCATCCCAGTGCGCTGGGGCCCACTGATGGGGCTTCACAGCCCTTCTGCAGAGGCCAGTGCTGCTCTTCCTGGGGGTGCACATGCCGCTGGTCTCCTCGGCTCCCCACTGAGCCCGTTTCTCAGTCTGTTCTGAAGAGCTGGGAGGCACAGGGGCAGGGAGGCACCTTGGCTCCAGCCCCAGGCCCTCTGGGATTCCAGTGGGATGACGGGGTGCTCCTGGGGGGAAGGGGACGGGGGAGCCTGTGACACTCCCTGGTCCCTCCAGGTCTGGGCATCTTGCAGAGCTGGCCACTGGGCAGATACGGCCACCTTCAGCCTCAGCCGGTCCCTCCAGCCAGCGCAGGCCTGCCCAGGGCATGCCCCCCACACACCCCACCTCCGCCCCGACACTCAGACACCCACCAAGGTGCTCCCTGCCTAAAACCCCCGAGCCAGGGACCAGGCCACCAGAGACACCCATGGCTCACCCACTGAAATTAGCCAGTCCTGAGCTGACTGCTCTGCCCGGCTGTTTCTCACAGAAACACAGGGAAGGGCCCAGCCTGGCTTTGTCCTCTCCCCTGTCCTGACCACCTGGCGTTTCTCCCCTTGACCCTGCCTGGATGAAGTGACCCTCATGAGATCCCCGCAGGTGATAAACTTCTTCCTCCCAAGCCTCAACTGGTTTCCCCCTGTAACCAGCTGACCCCACCACACCACAGGCCGTGGACAGGTCCTCAGATCAGTGGCCTCTCTGGAAGGAGAGGAAGGGGGTCAAAGGAGCAGGACGCCGTGAGGACCTGTGAGGGGCAACTCGGCCTCGGGCATTCTGAGCTGGACAGCTTGCTTCACACATGGGGGAGGCCAGCCCTGGGGGTCGCCCAGCCTGGCGTCCTGCTGCCGAGAGGGGGAGAAGCAAGCACACACAGACTTGTGGGCACTGGCGTTCCACACAGTTTATTTCACCTCTGCATAGATGGACACACATACAGGGTTTTACAGCATTGATGCTCAAGCGCTGATAAACGCGTAACAGACACAGTAACAGCTGCTCTGAACTGGCCTTACACAGGTACAGCTAGCTGGTCATTAGTAAAGGGCAGCATGTAAGTACTGGTTAGTGGGACTGCGTAGCCTCTGCCAAGCACTGGGGTGTTCAACTCACAATACAACTGTGGGCTTTCACTCAATCCGAATCCAGGCACCWGCCACCCAGAGCTCCTGCCACACTGGCCCTGTGCAGGGCCCGCTGCTCCCCAGTCCGGTCGCCTTTGTGGACGTGAAGAAAGCACAAATGTGGTGGCTGCTGGAAGGAACCCTGACACAGCTCCGACCTCTGGTTCCACTTGGAGCCCCTGACCCTGCCTCCTCGCGGATAATGACGCTGCAGAAGAAGGGGTCAAAACAGTGACACTGAACCGCCAAGGAAAGCCCCCGTCAGCCAGGGAGGCATTGACTAAGCACAAACAAGAGGTGACGGCAACTGTGCGCCGACTGTGTCCCAACTTCAGCAAAGAGCCCAGAGCTGCGGACAGCAACAGCAACAGCAACAGGAAGTTTCCTAAGAGACCCGGAGAGCACACAGCTGCAGCAGAATCACTGAAGGCCCAGAATTAACCAAGTGGAGCAGATGGCTCATTTCTTGCCTCAGTATTTGTAGCAAGACCAGTACAGGTCAGAGATTTAACTGAGGGCAACTCAATCCCCACAGCGTTTTCTTAAGAGGAAAAGACACAGGAGTCACCACAACCTGGAAGATCAAATCACCATGACCCAGATCCAGAGAGCTGTCAAGAGTCAGAGCTGGGGTGCTCCCCCCCAGAACACGAAACAGAAGGGAGACAGGGCTGCGCGGAGCACGTGCCCTCGACGGACAACCCAGAGTCAACGCTGCCAGCTACCCAGAGGACAGAGCCCTCGCGTGCACACTTCCTGAGAGCAGCACTGTCCTCCCAGCAGGAGAGGCCAGTGTGTGAAGGCTGACCTTAGGAGAACACGGGTGTCCTAAACCTAGAAACCTCTTCCCACGCCCCAGTGACCAGCGATTGTTCACACCAACTACCTTCCTCAGCTGTGTGGGACGCAGACTTAGACACCTGACAGAAGGCAGCAGGACCCTCCTCAGGCCTCAGGCCTCGGGGCAAGTCTCAGCGATGTCCTCAAAGGGCGTCTTTGATGGGTGCTAGCCTTGCTGCCCACCGCAGGGCCCGGCCCCACAAGGGCAAGCAGCCTGGTGCTCTCCAGGTGTCAGGGCCTCCGGCCTTTGTTCTCACGTGACGGTCCAACAGGGGTTGGCCAGGATCCCTTTACTACTAAGGAAGCAGTCGTTGCTTCCGCCTCGGGGACCTACCACCAGTTCCCACAGGCACTCTGCCACTAAGCCAAACAAGAACAGCTGGCTTCCCGGGGCACCGGGGGATGCCACTCGACACCCAGCACTCCTACCCTCTCTCTGGAGCAACGTCACTCCGGAGGTCCAGCTCAAGAGTGGACGTCCCAGGAGTGACTTGTCAAGCAGAATCACAATGCTGGTGTTTTATGAATTTGATATTTAAGGGATGAAAGTATTAGCCTGGACCCTTTTCATATTAAAACTTTTAGCATTAGTAATAACATTCTAGAGAGTATGTACTACCATATACAATGTACATTTCTTCAAAAAACACTACCTGTTCCTTTTTGCTGTTAAGTATTTCTCGAGTATACGCCTATAAAAGGCCAACAAAATCAGTAAGTCTCTCTTTCTTTCCCAAAATGATTGGCCAAGTTTCCAAGACATCTTCTTGGTTCATGCACACTCAGAAGCAAGCATGCACACCACCAGAACACACTCCAACTGCCACTGTGAATCCCACTCCCCTCATGCATGAGTTTCATGCTGACCATTTCTAAACACACTTAACCAAGACCTTCACAACCAAAGACTCTAAAAAGCACCGCCTACGTCCCACTATCCCACCACTGGTTAATAAGGAAGTCATGTCAAGGTCTTCACGGTTTCATCTAGGTATGTTCCAGAAACTTGTGCCCTTGTCCTATTACAGTAAGATGAATTGGCTTTGCAATCCAAACCAGTTTGCCTGTTCATGAGCGTGAATTCTACCCTTGAACTACTAATGGACAGGAAGTCCTGGCCAGCATTTCTGAAAAGTCAACTGACCTAACAAATGAGGGGAAATCAACTGATTTCTTTTATATCTTTGTACTTTCTCAAAGTAGTGAGTTTCACTTCCATTCTATTCAGGTATTTTGGAATTCACAATGAATTCCAAATACATGACATTTTCCCTTGTTATATTCCTATGACATGTCACTCTGCCTTGTTCTCTTAGAATGATGTTGGTAAAAATTAATATCCCTCATCAGAATTACATGATACACATTTAAAACATTAGCTAATGGGTTTAAAATGTGCCTGTATCATTCATTTTTAGAACTGTCAAAAATGATTCTAACCCTCTTTTTTAGGAAGTGTCCCTCTTGGCTCCTTCTAGAAGGTGGCAGGAATGAGAAGACTGGCTGTCACAGGGTCCTTTCAAAACAGACAAGTGCCTTCTCAGTGAACTTTCCTGATTCCATGTGCTGCCAGGTGACAGTTCATCACCAAAGATCAAAAGGTCAAGTCACAGTGAATCGTCACCATGCCACCAAGGACTCCAGGCCCCTCCACTCAATGGCCTCACTGCTCTGGCTTGTGGGGACCCCGGTGATGTGTCCATGATTGGCAGAGGAAACACTGCAGGGCCCCAGGGCCTAGAAATCCCATTGGTAATTAAAGGTTAAGTCACTCTACAGCTGAGCCCACCACCACTGCAGCACAAGGTGACACGAGCTGTTTAACTAAATCACAGAAAGCTTTACTTATCAGCTCTGGCTTTAACCTCAGGCCCAAATCAAAACAGAAGGGTGACTTCTCTCTTCAGCTGCACTACTTTAGGACTCCCTCTGTGGCCTGGCCAGGAGGGAACCCTGCCCAGCACCTCTAATCGCCTCCTCTGTGCTCAGGGCTCAGCTCCCCAGAGGGCTGTACCTTATATTCACCCTCCTGCACCCCCAGGGCGGCAGCTGCACCTGAGGACCCATGGGTTGACCCCCCTCTCTTCCCCTAGGTATCCTGCATCTCATCCTAAAGCCATTTGYGCACGTCTTACATCTTATGCCATCCACCCACTAAGCAAAATGAAGCAAAAAAGAATCCATAACTGAGAAGCGCTGAGAATGGCACCGGAAAAACGCCCCAGGGCCCCAAAGCTTCTACCCTCAAAGCGGATACATGGTGCAGTGAGCAGCAACCCACCCCACCTCTCTCTTCCTCCTCTCCTCTGCCCCCTACCCACTGGGAACTGCAGCCCTCGGGGCCACCCCTTTGGTCCCACAGCTGCCCAAGGGAGATGCCCAGTGATCCCGGCCTGCCCTAGGCCGCGCCCTGCTCCCCCCGGTCCGGCTTCTCAGGCAGGTTGAGCACAAATGGGAAGAGTGTGCCCCGGATGTCCAGGGGGGCTCCCAGTGGCTCTGGCTCGAAGCTGCCGCCGGCGCCTGCGTCGCCGCCGGGCTCACCATCCTGCGAGGGCACGAAGCGCCAGGTGCCCGCTCGGCTCACGCAGTAGATTGTGCCGTCCAGGGCGGCGCATCGGAAGGGCTGCAGGCCGGCTGGGGCGCCCGGAGGCCGCAGGTGCGCGGCGCACTGGCTCCATTGCTTGGCTAGACAGTGGTAGCGGAAGACACTGACCCCGCCGCCCGGAACGGCCGCCGCCTGAGCTTCACCTCGAGCCCCGCATAGGTCAAAGCGGTAGATGAAGCCATTCAGGGCCACCATGTCGGCTGAGCGCTCGCGGCTGCTGCTGCACGGGCACTCCTGCCACTCGTCGCGGCGAGGGTCGTACTTGAGCAAGCGGTAGAAGAGGGAGCCCCCCGACACGTAGATCTCGCCATTGCAGGTGGTGGCCTCATGCGCCACGGCGAAGGCGCCCCGGGGCAGCGGGGCCACCGCGGTCCAGCGGTCGGCACGCGGGTCGTAGCGCTCCACGCTGAGCAGGCACTCGCCGCCCACGGCGTACAGGTGGCCGTCCAGCGCCAGCAGCTGCAGCTGCGAGCGCGCCTGACGCAGCGGCCGCACGGTGCTCCAGCTGTTGGTGGCCGGGTTGTAGCAGAAGACCTGGTCGGACGGGCGCGCGCGACCATCAGGGCCCGCGGGCGCCACGCCGCCGGCCACGAAGAGGTAGTTGTAGAGCACGCACAGGCCGCAGCCGCGCGCCGGCGCGCCCTCGGGTAGCCGCGTCAGCTCGCGCCACTCGCCGGCCGCCTCGTGGTAGCAGTAGACGGCCGCGTCGCCGCGCGCGTCCGCGTCCCCTGACGGGCTCTGCGGGCGGCTGCCTGAGCGCTCCCCGGCTGGCCCGAGGGCGGCGGCCAGCAGGCGGGCGCGGCCGGCGCGCAGACGGCGGCGCAGCAGCAAGTCGCGCTCGGCGCCCGACAGGCGCCCGAACACAGCGGGCTCGCGCAGCACTTCCAGGTAGTGGTCGCTCATGAAGCGGTAGACGGCGTCGCGCAGCTCCGAGAGCCGCTGCCGCTTGGCGGTGCTCAGCACTTCGTAGCAGTTCGCCAAGTTCAGCTGCGGCCCTACGGCGTCGGTGGCGCGCTGCGCGGCGCCAGGCAGCTGCAGGCGGCGCGCGCCAGCCACCACTTCAGCCACGTTGTCGGGCCGCACGCCCGCCATGCGTCCGCTGTACGCGTCGGCCAGCAGCAGCTGCAGCGCYGCGAAGCTCACGCCCTGCACCCGCAGCACGTCCCGAGACGCGCGCGCGCGGAAGTAGTCGCTGCGCGCCGCCAGCACCGTCTTGTGCGCCCGCAGCCGCCGGCCGGACACCTCGATAACCAGGTCGGGCTCTCCGTGCGCGGTCCCGACCCCGGGGGGCACAGGCGCGGGTTCTCCGAGCTCTTCCTGGGACTCAGATTCCACCAGGGACAGAGACTCCGCAGGGCGCGCGCGCTCCTGGCGGGACGAGGGCTCTTCCGGGGACACGGGATCCTCGGGGCGCGCGCGCTCCTCCAGGGACACGGGCTCTTCCGGGGACACTAGCTCCTCTGGCGACGCGGCGCCCGCGCTGCCGACCTCCCACTGCGTCTCCACCACGCGCTGGCCGCTGCGGTGCGAGGGCGAGGAAGCCGCCGCGCCCTCCGCGGCGGCAGCGCGAGACTGCGGCGGAGAGTCGTCCCCGGAGCTGAAGCACAGGGACGCGCGGAGACTGCAGGGTGTCTGAGTGGGGGACGCCGCGCCCTCGCTCGTGGCCGGCGGCTGCAGGCTGCCCTCTCCCGGAGCCCCAGGCTCCGTCCCGCTGACGCCGCGGTCCCCTGGGTAAAGGACGCAGGGGGCCACAGAATTCTCCATGGCGGTCTGTGCTTTGCCGCCGCCCGCACGCTCAGTGGCCGCACATGCCTGGTCGTGGCCAGGCGTTGTTCAGGGGTCACTAGCTTCACACGCTTTTCTGGCACGCGATCAGATTTCACTATGTCCACAGTTTTCCCCCTGTGCACACTGCTCCCTTCTTGCCCTTCCCCTCTCCTCCCCTGCAAGGAGGGCGTGCCCAGCACTCGCTGAACTCTTGAACGCTGGGGATTCAGCGCTGGCCGGGGATTCGCTCAGGTGGAGAGGAACCGGCCAGCAGCGTGGCCAAGACTGTGAGGCTTTAGTCCACGCACCGGACAGACCTGAGGCTGCAGCGCTGGCTGATGTGGCTTTGTCTGTGGGACTGGTCTGTCACGTGTGTCTGACCCCCAGTGTCCCCACAGGAGCACTGTATCAACGCTGCTGCCTCAGACAGAAGGGCCCTGGACCTTAAGGACCCTGTTTTTAGTTCCACTGTAGGTACAGACCGGATCCTTCTTTTTGACTCCCATTTGTAGTTACACCCAAAGGTCAGCTGGAGGGTGTGGTCTATGTCCTGGCCTCAAGGCTCTGTCGAGTCCACATCCGCACCTGCCCAGTGGGCGTCAGGAAAGGTCACTGTGCACATCAGAGACCTTGCTTTCAGCTTCCCTCGTCTGTCATCCGGTGCTTCCAGATCCTTCACACCCTGTTCCTGTTGATGGGAGAAAAAGGAGATTTGAATTTGCATCGTGCAGTGAGCCTGTTCTGTCACTGGGCTCTACCGCAGTCCCTCCCCAGGTTTCCGATTACAGCTTTGGTTGTGGTGCTGCGGGCATGTGACTTCTCACTGCTGGAACTTGGTGAATGGGATGTGCAGAATATTATCTAGGAATGAGGAAGAGGCATCATGTTGGGGAACCAGCTCAAGAACGGCATGACCAGACCCGGTCTCAGGTCTAATGGGTCGGGCTGAATGAAGCTGTTGGTTCCATAGGTCAAAAGCAGCCCAGTGTGAACCATCCCACCTTTTCATCCTGACTGCATGTATGCAGTCACGGAGTCTTTCACTGAGAGAGCATGGCCGGGCTGTCATTGTATCAGTGTCGACAGCCTCTCTCATTCCTTTTCAGTCACCTATTCAGACTCGGTGACAACAAATACTTGTTGAAAGTGTTAGGGAACCTATCTGCGGTCGGCCACACTGAGGACCCCCGGGAGTCCAGTGCCTGTATCTGCTAACTCATCACTCTTTGTTTTCTTTTTTTTTAGTTGTAGATGGACACAATACCTTTAYTTATTTATTCAATGTTGAGGATCCAACCCTGTGCCTCACACATGCCAGGCAAGTGCTCTACCACTGAGCCCCAGCCCCAGCCTGACCTGGTCATCCTTGGAATCTCATCTCTGAAAACCCTCAGAGGAACAATGGCACAGACAGCTAACGGAAGCAAAGACCAGCATGGGAGGGCCCATGTGCCCTGCAGAGGGGTGTAGGATAGTGTCACACAGTGTCTCTCCCAAACTGGAAGAGCCTTGGGGAGTCTCCCACCTGCCCGGAGGCGGCTTGACCTAGGGGAGAGGCAAGTGGGACAGTAGCTTCCTCAAGGATGTGCACAAGGAGAGCATGCACAGCGAGCCTGGCATCTCTCCATTCTACAGAATGCTTACTGACCTCTCAAATGGGCGAGCAATTGGCAGTCACCTTCCCTTAGCAGGTCCTGATGTTTGCGTATCACACAGAAGGCCACTGCCAGTCCCCGTAAACCCTGGGGGAAGGGTGCACACCTGCAGGCCCGCTCCTCCTGCTAGTTGTCCCTGGAAAGGCCTTCTCCTTATTCTCAGAAATGGAAGGTCTTCCCGCTGGGAATTCATGCCGTCCCCCTCCCCCTGCCAGACAGCTTTCCCCATCACCTTCTGGCATGCTGCACACACTGTTGTGAAATTCCTGGGAAATGCAGTGTTGGGGAAGTCCAGGAGTAACCTCAAGCCCTGTCCTGCTGTGTGGTCACAGGGGATGCCGAGGGACAGGCTGCTGTGTTGGTTGGGCCATGACTCAGCCCAGCACAGCCTCCCACCCACCATCCAGCAGTGCTCTGTCCAGGGGGTGAAGAGATCGCTGGCCACAGCAATAAGCATGAGGTCAAGCTGTGGACCGTGAAGATCAGGAGCATGTGCGGCCCCCAGCGGCTCCAGGGGGACTCCAGCTGAGTCATCCAAGGTGACCAGGTCAAAATGAGGACACAATTGCCTGCCTTGCTCAGAAGTGGATGTGAACATCAGTGTCTGACACAGAATCTGAGCTGGCTGTGATCACTGGCTTTTTAAACACTGCTTCTGCAAACACAGAAGACCACAGACTTTGGAAAATGAATGTCATTTTTTTCTAGGAATGGAAGTGGCTCTTACTCCCACTCGCCCAGAAAGGCAGAGCTCAGGTGTCTGGAAGGCAGGACCGCTGGGCTCGCCACAGCTGCTTGCATGTCCTCCAACCCAGTGTCACTAAACGGCCTCCTGAACTGTGCTCACTCCACTGGACCTCCCCTGTCCCGCAGCAGGGCTGGCAGTGTGAGCTGGCCCAGGCAGGGGTGGGCAGTCCCACTGTGGCCCACAGAGGCATGGCACAGCCACCCAGCCGATGGGGCCCGCCTGCACCCTCCACGAAGCTGGTGCTGGACACACCACTGTGGACACCTTGAGGCCTGTGCTGATTGTCCCGAGGGCTGAGATGCTGGCCTCTGCTGCCCCTGTACCAGGGCCAGAGCTGCACTACCGAAAGCCGCTTCCCCAGCGTGGGGGGCACCTGACTGACGTGGTCTCCCAGAGCCTTGCAGAGAGCCAGCGGCATCCGGCCTCCTGCCCCCCACGAAGGGACGAAGAAGGCAGAGGCTGTTAAACGGTCCTCCTCCTGTTTTGGGGGGTGACCCAATGCTGGGATTTTCCCTGGAGGTAGATGGGCAGAGTCAGCTCACTTCCCAGCCCTGGGAGGAGGTGATGAGCTCCACGGGCTTCTCCCAGGGAAGGTGGCCTGAGCTGTCTGACCTGACACTGCTCTTCCTGCTTGGCCACGCACAGGAAGCCGGCTAGTCCTGCAGTTCTAAGCTGTGCTTCATCCTTGAAATTCACCATGTTTCTTATTTAACTTAAGGGGCAATGTCAGATTTCAAGCCTGCACAACAGAGATGTTTAAAAAAAAAAGTCCTCTGAGACCTCAGCAGCAACCCTGCTAAGACCCTTAGCATCAAATCTCTCTGGACTAGAGGCTGGGACCCCCCCCCCCCCAGGAACACACACACACAGGCTGGCTCTGAATCAGTCCCTCCGGGAGGCTTCTGTGCACAGGACAGGAACCCCAGCTGCTCCTGTGGAGGGTGGAACTGCAGGAAAGTCCCCGAGCACCACTCCTGCAATGTGCCACAGTCCTGGGGCAGACTCTCACACGGGCTCTGGCTGAGAGGGCTTCCAGGGATGGGGATGAGGAACAAAAGTTTCCTTCTGCGTTGAAAGTAGGAGGTGGTGCAAGTTTCAGCTAGATATGGTTTACATAGCATTCTCCCCTGGAGAACATGACTTTCTTCTGGACCTTATACAGGCCTCAACAAAAATATTTTGAAGTTTCTTCACTATTCATAGGAATTAAAAATACAAAATTACTTCCCTCTGTGCACATTTAACTTGGATGTTAGCTTATACATAATTAAATATAAAATTTCATTATGCCAGTTGCTGTGAAGAAGCTTCCTCTCAGTCACAGGGAATTAATTCTTTGGTTATAAGGGACATAGGAAGCTCCTGTGAACTTCTGTGGCATGGGCTGTGGACATCTTCCACACCGTGCCCGCCTCTGCCGCCCCAGGCTCCTGAGGAACACCACCTTGCCGCGCCCACCGTCTGCCTTCCCCAACACCAGAATTTACCCAGTTAAGAGCCAGCAAATTGAAAGGTTAATTAAGAAAGAAAATACAAGAAGTAAAGAAAATCTAGTCTCAGAGACTCACCAGGGACTCGGATCTCAGTACAGAATGTACTGATTTGCCTGCAGCTGTTCATGCAATTATCCTTCTTCAAGGTCATGGCCTCCTTGGGCAGAGTCTCTGGCACACATGACCACGGTGGGAGGGGGCCTGCCCAGCAGTGCTGAGGGAGACCCAAGTGAGTCCTCACTCCCGCCCCGTTCCCACCTGCTCAGGCCACAGCCCAGCTGGGGAGGACCTTGTGCACTGGCTGCACATTCCAGAGCTGCTGGGGGCACTCCCCACGGAGCCTGTTTTCACTGAGGAGTGCACACCACTTGCTCTAAAAGTCAGGCAGCCTGCTGACTCTGAGGACCTGAGATCTGACCCACTGCCCTGAGGGTCTGCAGGACATCCAACAGCCCAGCAGTAAGGATCCACCCAGGAAAGAAAACCCAGCCCCACCCTGGGCAGGTTTCTCCATGCAGCACAGAAATGGCACCACCACAGGTCAGCAGTAAGTCCCTGACGTCAGGTGGCAGGGGTTGGGTCTCTTCCACCAGAGTGGACTGACATCCTGTAAGTTGTTTTTATGAAGGACACTCTAAGACTGCATGGACAGTGATATTCCTGACCGTGCCTGGGCACTAATAAGTAACTGATGCTCCCCTTGCCCGGCACAGGTCTCCTGAGTGGCACAGAGTCACGTCCTAACCCTCCCAACACGCTACCCGGCAGCGGCTTGCCAGCCCCCGTGAATGACTCAGGTGGTGCCTGCTGCAGCAGTGCCTGAGCCCTGTGGCATGCCTCCAGCGTGTCTCCGAAGGGTTTCTGGGGTGACGGGGTCAAGTCTGGCGGGACTTCACTGGGAGGAGTACATCACTGAGAATTCCCTGAAGAGCTTCAGTGTAGACGGTGCTCTTAAAGCCCCCTGCTCCGGCTGGAAGGTGAGGTCCGGGGCACCTGCTCCTCTCACTTGCCAGTCTCGCCTGCTGCAGGCGCTCAGGGCGGGGACCACATGGTGGCAGGTGTGCACGGGGCGTCGGTGTTTGCAGTGAGAGCCTTCTGCCA